GGGAGAGTGGAGTGACAGCGCAAGAGAGAAAGACTCTCGATGAGATGGATTGATTCAGTCACTGGGGTAATAGGGGTAGGTGTGTCAGAGACAGTGCAATTGGCACAGGACAGAGCAGGGTTTAAGGCCGTTGAACATGGGTTGCTATGAGTCACAGGTGACTCGACGGCACATAACAACAACAACATCAACAACAACCCCATTCTTTTAAGAAACGCTGCAGAGATCAACTAAATAATTATTACACAGCTACTACTCATAGTCTAAAAGACTAATAGTATGAAAACTAACTAAAAGAAAAATTTTCTCTCTATATATTCTCTTACCTAGAATAGGCTTCATTTACGACACTGTCAAAAACATGCTGATTTTTTTCCTCCAGTCCATTTTCTGTCCTCTCTTCAGTTTCTCATTTCTCCTATAAACTTTATCTTTTAAAATCCTGTTTCAGCTCAATGGACACAACATATTTCACAAAGAAAATGTTCTCCATTCTACTATCGTGTATAGTGAGTGGGTGAAGTGCTTGTCAGTGTCTGTCTGAAGTGTAATTGTTGGTCTCTCCTTATTCCAAGGAAAGAAAAATGAAGAAAAGCCAAAACCCAGAGAAATGACTAACCAAAAATCTACCAGATCACATAAACTTCAAACATAAGCTTCTTTCAAACGTTGAGCGTGAGCATGAGACCAGAAGGACTCGGGGGTATGGGACCTGACTACCACTGCCGTTTGCTCTGAAAGCGATTACATTCGGAAGCTCTCAAGAGAACTTACTGCTCTTGATACACAACCAACTCCTAGCTGATCACCCAGCAGGTGTTTAGAGGTTATAAACTGCACATGAAGAGATTTCCTATCTTTATCCCTTGGGGTCACTGATGGACTTGAACTTCCTGAGGGTCAAATAAACAATCTCTTTAATAAATGGTGCTAGAAAAGCCAGATATTCACCTGAGTAGTGAAGAATCCCAGAGCTGAACAGGACTTCAGACATCATCCAGGGCACCTGATTCTTGGCAGCCCCGAGTTATGTGGGCTCCAAAGCAGACACACCTGGATCCAGCCAATTCCTAACCAGATTTCAGTTATCTTATCTGTAACACAGTCCCAGGCACTGGCTAAAAGGTTCAGTAAATGCTAGCTATTACTATTAATTTTAGAAAGTTCTGGTGGCGTAGTCCGTAGGCAGCTGCGTTGCTAAGTCAAAGGCCAGTGTCTCTGGGAGTTTGTGTTCACCAACATCTCCACGGGAGAAATACAGTAAGTCTCCTGTTCAAGTGATGGGCTCAGAAACCAATATTGTTAGCTATGGGTTTATCCTCCCTTGGTAATAATGACTTAGAGAATTTTTAATATTACTTCTACTATGCTTCAGAAATGAACCCTTACCTTTGTATCTTAGCTAAGTTAGAAGTAGTTGGGCAAAGGCTCTTCATAGAGGCTGAGCTGAGATCTTTATCAAGTTTCTCCTGGACCCCTATGTAGCGCACTGTTGTTGTTGTTGTTGATTGCCTTTGAGTGGAGCATGAGTCATAGCGACTCTAGGAACAAAACGCTTGAAGTCTTTCTATAACTATCGGCATTTATCAAAGTTCACAGGGTTTCCGGAGGTGTTTTGTTTAGGAAGTGGACGCCCCCTACCAGAGGTCTCCATAACCTCTTTTCAATTCTTCTACATTGTTACCTGGAAAGTACCTTTGCATGTTCCAAAATCATCTTCAGTGGTTCCCATTGCTAATGAAATTAGGTCCAAACTCCTTTGCGGTTGTGGTTTACCCCATGTCCTTCATAACTTGTTCAAATCCATTTTCTGAGTGTCACCTCCAGACACAATCCTAACAGGCTCAATGCTCAAGCCACAGGCAACCTCCACTCCTTTTGGGAACTGCTGTGCTCTTTCACCCTCAGTGCCTTGGGACTGGCTAGTCCTCCATTCAGAACACTCCTCCCCCTTCTCTCTGGGCCCACTCCATCACCAGGACCCACCCAGCACCCTCTCCAGTCGGCCCCCGTCACTATCTCCCCTGCGGTCAGCACTGCCCTTTCTCTGTGCTCCCTCTGTGCTTTCGATCTTGATCTCACCACCAAGTTTCCCCCAAATCTCAGTTTACATCTGAGCTCCTAAAGTAGACTGAGAATATGACCTCTTCTGTTCATTGCTTTCTAATATTTGTACAGTCTCACTCACCACCTTCTCAATGTTCTCATTAACTAGCTCTTAGATGAAAAAGCAAAAAAGTTAACAAATTAATGAAAAGTTTGCTAGGTAAAGGAATGAATAAAAAAACAGACCTCACTTCCACACTCTGAGGACACACTCTCATTCCTCACTGCACTATATTCACCCTTGCTCGTGTGCTAACTGTTTTAGCAAATTATCCCTATAGGTCCCTCTCTGGAAGTTCAAATCCACCCACAGCAACCCCTGGACGGAGGAGGGGTGACCTCCTCTCCCATGATTTCCAGCCCTGGGAACTCCCTGGGCGGTCAGTCATGACTAAGATCTCTATGCTTCAATGGCAATGAGCTGAGTTTCCCTCAAGCAGGAAGCCTTGGAGGCATCTCTGCACAGTCACATAACCTCAACTCCACATCTCTGGGAGTTCGAACCTCTCAGTGGTGCCAAGGAAAAAAGGATAGGCGCTTCCCTTCTGTACAGTTCACTGCCTCTGAAACCCAGTGGAGGGTCATCTACGAGTCGGTTCCAACTTGATGACAAGGAGAGGGTAAGAGAGAGTTCACCAAAGCATATTCTGTCTTTAGAATTAGATTAGAGACTTCCTAAGGACCGTGCACTCCAAGCCTGCTTTTAACGGTCTCGAATCATAAGATATTTGGGTTTTATTAAGCTTCTGAATGTTTCCTTTCGTCAAATACTGGGCGTGACATGAATGTCTTCCATCTTTTTTCCCCAAGAAAAAAAGCGATGGGGGCAGGGGGTGCAGGGAGGAAAATGTACAACAATGAACGATGGGAAATCCAAGTTCTTTATAAACTTTAATTAAAATATCAATTAAAAAGTAAAAAAAGAAATTAGGGGAGCTCTGGTGGCCTAGTGGCAAGGAGCTGCAACTAGAATCCCAGAGGCGCACGGTTCGAATCCACCAGATGCTCTGCTGGGGAAGGAGGGACAATCTCCTCCTATACCAGTCAGATCTGATTTGACGGTACACTCACACACACACACACACACACACACACACAAAAATAATAAAAAAAGAAATTAGAAAAAAGTATGTCCATCTTTTCTAAGGACAGTAACTTGCATGCAAGGTCTCATTTCCAAAGAGTGCATTGTGATAAGACGTTACCCAGTGACATTACATGAAAGAAATAACCCTTCCCTGATTCATTCTCTTGTTTACAGTGGAAGAGAAACCATCCACGTTTCCATCTCTAGACTCTGAAATGAAAATCTCTGTTTTAGTATTCAGAGCCTTCAAAAGAGATGTTATTTTCTTGCAGAAAGCATAAAAATAAGCACTCAGAGGAAAAAGGATTTTCAGTCCCTTTCCTATTTCAGTCAGAAGTATTTTTAAAGAGAACATAGTACTATACTGATCATGCATTTACTGACAAAGTGTGTACAACATCATCAACAGAGGAAAAAGCTCCGAAGAAGGAATCAGAGAGAAAAGGCAAATTTGGCAGAATTACAAAGGGGAGACCTAATGTCCACAGACACGGGCCTGGGCGGGTTCACAGACACGCCAGTCACGAGCCTCGGCGACAGGCTCAGTGCTTCTCCACCCAGGGAGATCTCGCCTCCAAAGGACATTTTACAATGTCTGCTCTGGTGGCCCAGTGAGTAGGGAGTCATGCTACCAAGTCAAAGGTGAGAAGTGTGAGTCCACCAGCTGCTCTGAGGAAGAATGATGGCCAGTCGCCTCCTGGGTGATTTATACCCTATGAAAACCCAGTGGATGAGTCAGAGACATTTTAGGTTGTCACAGCAAGGAGGAAACAATTGGCACCTAATGGGCAGAGGTCAGGGAGTAGGTAACTTTATACCAGGGAAGGGTAGGCCCTCTCAACAACAAAAAACAACCATCCACTCCAAACAGCAATCCTGCCAGAGCTGAGAACTACTGAGTTGCACTAGATAGAATTGGACATTCCCTATCACGAAAGCAAAGCATTAGAAGAAAATGAGTTTACATTCTTATAGTTCTTCTCTCCCTTGAAAACCTAGAAGTAGAAGAAAATACATTCTGATTCTCTTTTCACAGTGCTAAGGAAAGATATTATTTAGAAAACAAATGGGAAGAAAAATAAGAACCATTTTAGACATCTGGATTCTGACAAGGGAACACATTTCAGACCTTTCCATGGGAGCCAATTCTGGCATCTGTGATGGGTTTTAAGTGGTCAGGTAGACGGGCAATCGAATGGAAGGTAGATTACAAAGCCTACATCAGCTGCAGGAGTAAAACATCCCGAGAGTAAACACCTTTTAGATGTGAGACTTGTGGTGACCTTAATAAGCCTCATAACGCCCACCAACTTTCAAAGGAGCAGAAAATGAAACCTGGTATCTTGCCGGAGAAACTGACCAGACCTGGTCATGACAGAGGACATTTCTACCAATAATGGGCAAATGGAACAATTTTACCATCAAAAGAAACCAGTTCAAATGAGATATGCTCACTGGACCTGATCAGACCCGCTGAAATGAGGAAAAGTACTCAGCAAAGATGATTTCCTCTAACTTTCTACAACTGCATTTCCCTTAGAGAATAATCTTCACTAACGTGAATAGTTAGAGTTCTCTTTCTAAATGGAAAGACGACAACAAAACTGTTCAAGGTAAATATTTTAAGAACATATTTGGACACTTAGATTCTTGGAAAGGCCTCTAACTGGAGACAATTATGGTTAATTGGTTGAGACGTGGGCCAAACCATCTGTGGGCACGGCTAGTTTCCATAATGCATAGTCTTTAAGCAGCACCACACTGCTGGACACACGCCCAGGCAAAGTCCCCACGGGCTAATACTAACCACCAATCTGTGATAAAAATCTCCTCTTGAGCCTCCTCTATCGCATTGGCCACGTCTTCAAAATAGCCTTTGGCGTTAACATACCTGAAAGACAAGGGAGTTTTGATGTGTTTCATGTTGTGGATGTTTGGAGTTGACTTTTTTTTTTCCCCATAAAAGAAAAATGGAATAAAGAAAACATATCCTATGACAAAATAAAATGCAGAAGTCACAGCTTAGAATCTAAAACTACTTCTTTTGTGTGACCGGGAAACAAAGATGGGAAATATTACCTTTCCTCTGTTACCTAGGACAGTAGGTCAAAAGCAGTGGGTAGGACACCTGATGTTTATTTTCTGAAAAGAAACAAAAATGGTTCGAATCCACCAGATGCTCTTCTGGAGAAGGAGGGGCAATCTCCTTCTGTACCAGTCAGAGCTGATTTGACTGTTCACACACAAAAATAATAATTTTAAAAAATTAAAAAAGGGGGGGGGAAAGTGTAACTATCAATGTATGGAAATTCAACATCTCTGTAAACTTTCATTAAAATTAACAAAAAAAAAAAAAAAAAGAAAAGAAACCAAAAAAGACATTTCAGCTCAACACTATATGCTGGAATATTTTTGTTAATTTTTATTGTTTTGTGTGTGTGTGTGTGTGTGTGTGTGTACTGTCAAATCAGACCTGACTGGTAGATGAGAAGACTGTCCCTCCTTCTCCAGAAGAGTATCTGGTGGATTTGAATTGCTCACCTCTGGGATTGCAGTGCAGCTTCTTGCCACTAGGCTACCAGAGCCCACCTTCATCTTATCACTCTAGAGTTGAGTTTAACTCATAGTGAGTTTCCAATGTTGTAAATCTTCACAGGAGGGGATTGCCTGTCTTTCTATAGACCAGGCCACCAGAGCTCCTTCTCTGCTTAGATCACCCCAAATTGCACCTCCTCTAAATGAAAAGGGCACTCTGGTGGCCCAGTGGTTAGGAACTGTGCTGGGATCCCAAAGGCCCATAGTTCAAATCCAACAGCTGCTCCGCAGAAGGATGGGCAGCGTCATCCTGTGCACTTAACTGCCTCTGAAAACTTGCTAGAGGGGTCAGCTGTGTGTCAGCTCCAACTCGAGGGTACACAACAACCACAATAACATTACATTATCGAGAGACCAGATGAACTCCCAGATTCTGTTGAACTCACACGGGACTCTGGTAGAGCAGTGAGAGCAGCAGTGAATGACCAAGTCAGTGGTTTGAATCCAGCAGCTGAGCTGCTCTGCAGGAAGACGTGGCAGTTGGCTTCTATGAAGTTCAGTGGGCTTTTTAAAAAATTAATTTTAATGAAAGTTTACAGAGACTTTGGGTTTTCATTCATTCATTGTTACACTTTTCTCCCTGCACACCTGCCCATGCCCCCTCCAGTTCACTCTTCTTTTTGAAAAGTAAAAGAATAAAATCTTTCATTGTTATACAATCCTTGCCCCCAAGTCCACTTCACTGTGCAGTCTTCATTCTGGACTCCTATCATGACAATAATACCCAATCATTTATCCCTTTTAAACAGTTCTCTCCCTCATTTGTTTCAATGCAGTATAGATCATTCTCCCCTCCTTCTCTGCCTTCCCTCAATCCTGATGTCAGTAAAGCTATGGACTTAGAAACTCTATGGGGTAATTCAACTTATTTATAGGGCCACCAAGTGTCAGAATCAGCTTGATGGCAGAAAGGCTGGAGTTCTTCTTGTCTGAATGCATACACACAGTTGTTTTCCTGACCCTTAAAGCAGTCTCTATTCCCCAATCTCTCGGTAGGGAAACATGCTAGAGCTAATTTCATTGAACAGAAACATCTAACAATTAAATTCACGATAGAAAAGAATTTGTATCATTAAGAAAACGTATGAGGCCAGAGAGTTACCAGCATTTGTAAGCTATTTTAAAAATCAGATTTCAAGATCTAAAGCTAGCTATCTAAAGCTCACAGGAATACTCATAAAAACAAAAATTCGATAAGCATGTCATTCTCAGATAGTCCTACGATGTTGTTATGAGTACCTCAAAAAGAAAGGGGCTTACAGAATACACTTTCACAATTTAGAAAATTGAGTTCTGGTGAACTGAGTCTATTACTATGTTAGAGGTTATAGCAACCTTGACCATCTTAGAGAAAATGTTCTTACCATTTAGCTAAAATGTTCTCGTGGATAGCAGCATACGACCCAAACCGATGATCTTTGAGAAAATCAGCACCATGCTTCTGGACAAATTCGTCTATTGCTCCCCCCCACCACCGGGCATGTCTATAGCTGTTGCATTTTAAAATAAGGGTCCTTCAAAGAGAAGCAAAGCACAAAAAAGTATAGTTACATGGTGTTCTATTTCTTAAAGTAAGGTTTTTTTGTTTGTTTGGTATTTTATTTTATTTATTATTTTATTTTATTTGTGTCTGTGTGTACCATCAAATCGGATCTGACTGGTACAGGAGGAGATGGCCCCTCCTTCTCCGGCAGAGCATCTGGTGGATTCGAACCACATATCTATGGGATTGCAGTGCAGTTTCTTGCCACTAGGACACCAGAGCTCCCCCTTAAAGTAAGTTTTAAAAATTAAACACAAGATTTTGTTTTGTTCCTGAAGTTAAAAAAAAAAAAGAGAACAATTTTAAATAGTTAAAAAAAAACCCTATTTTAGGAAAATAGCCTCTATCTATCTACACGCATGTATATATGCAGGTGTCTTAATAATTTTTGGTAGCATTTGCAAATATATAAAAATTAAACACATATTGTTATTCATTCATCCATTTGTTCACACATGTAAAACATACATTATGTTCTCGGTGTACATAAATGAGCTTGGCTGTAAGGAGGGTAACAAAAAACGATACAAGCAACGACCTACTTCTAAGCGGTGGGGAGAGAGGTGGCAGAAAGAATAATGTCCTCATTCCTGTTTTTCTCTGGAAAACAGAAATGCAGCAGCAAGAAGGAAGTTCTGGGGAGATGGGGCTCATTCAGGGCGGTGTGGTGGGGGGAAGCGGGGAGGAGGGGGGAAGCAAGTGGCAGGATCCAGGCGAAAAGACAGGGACATGACAGGCAAGGTCCAAGGGTGATTAATGTCTACAACATAATGTATGAGGATGATTGTATGAAACACAACGTGAATGAAGAATAATGGGAAACACAATGTACGTAAACTTTATAAGCAAATCAATTTAAAAAATATAAAAAGGAGGGGCGGGAAGAAGCAAGTTGAATGGCAGAGTCATCGCTTCCAATCCTGAATCTTCTGTCAGAGAGCATGGCATCTTTTCACATTCGCTCACGCATCACACACACGTGCTTGCAAACATGCACCAGACCTCCTATTACTGTGCTTGGTGTTATTGTCCTTTGCAGAGAATGCATTTCTTCACAAACTGAAGGCTGGTGGTAATGCTAGCTCAGTCTATTGTTACAATTTGTCTAACATTATGTACTTAGTTCATCATTCTGGGCTATATTATTGCAATATTTCAAATATTTTCATAATGCTATTGCTGCATATTTAATGGCCTTTACTATAGTGTACACACAACTTTTATACACTCTTTTCTTCTACTTTTTATTTCCCCCTTTTTAATTTTTTTGCTCAAATATCTTTTTATTTTATTTTTCTACTGTTTTATTTACAAAATTCAAATACAAATTTGAACATATTCCATTCAATTTCCCTCAAACCCCACCCATCAAAACCCCTCTACACTTTTTCTTGTTGAGAAACCAGAAAAATCATACAGCTCAATTTATTGTGACACTTGCTTTATAGAAATAGTGTTGAACCGAGCCTGCCAAATCTCTGAGGATGCCAGTGCATGTCCATCCATATGCAGGGAGCTTGGGTGGTCTTGTGCTAAGAGTTTCCCCATCCTCAAAGCAAGTGGGTTGAATCGACTAAGCTGCTTTGAGAGAGCAAGATGGGAACTCTTCTCCCGTGCAAGTTACAGGCTCTGAGAGCTCACTGATGGGTCCAGCTATGAGTCAGTTCCAGCTCCACAACATAAAACAACAACAACACATGTATATTTGGATGAGTGTGTGTGTGTGTGTGTGTGTGTGTGTGTGTGTGTGTGTGTGTGTACTGGCTCTGACAGCCTCGTTGAGTAAGGAATTGTGTTGCTAGCCCAAAGGTTTGAGCTACTCCAAGGGACTAAGATGCGCAATCTCCTCCCATCCAATTTACAGCATCTGAACCACCCCCTCCGAGGGTTAGCTATGAAAAACATACATGGATTGGTGAGTATGAGTATGTATGGAGTATGAGTAAGTATGTGTACACATATGTTGTTATTGTTGTTATGTGCCTTCGAGTCGCTTACAACTCATAGCGACCCTACGTACAACAGCCCTAAACCCTGCTCTATCCTGTGCCAATCGCACTGCCTCTGACACACCCACCCTGATTACCCCAGTCACTGAATCAATCCATCTCATAGAGGGCCTTCCTCTCCTGCGCTGTCCCTCCACCCTCCCAAGCATGATGTCCCTCTCCAAGGACGGTCCCTCCTTACAGCATGACCAAAGTATGTCAGACAAAGCCCCAGAATCCTTGCCTACAAGGAGCAGCCTGGTTTAACCCTCTCCAGGTTGAATCTGTTTTTGTACATAGGGTTTTCAGAGGCCTGCTATTTTGTTAGTGGATGGCCAGTCCTTACATATATTTATTTCCATGTGTGTGTAAATAAATAAATAAATATACATATGCTTTCATGCACATTAGATTGAACTATATCTAATTGTATAGATGAAGAAAAAGACATACACACACACAGGGTTAAACTACAATTTTGAGTAAATAAACAATGCTATTAATATATACGCAAATACTAATAAAATCTATAGTAAATGTACATTTGAATAGCCTTTCAAAATATCTTTTTTAAAATTTATGTATAAGCAGAATTTCTAGAGATAAAATGACTTGTTACAGGATATTAATTTCTAAAGTTTTAATAAATTAATTCATTACATTAAGAAATTTTAAAAATTAAGAAAGAAATTTTATAAAACAAGTGAGAGTCACCATTCCTTAATTTATGTTTAGTCCACTTGTATCGGTGAGTAGTTAATTTTATTTAAAAAGGCATATATCAACACAGGAAAGAATTTCTGCTTGTTTCTGTTTCACACAGAATATTCTATTCTTAAATAATGTACACAAGGAAACATTAGTTCATTACTTTTAATGGAGGGTTAGTTCTAAATAACAATTTTTGACAACTGCATTATTTTACCTACATCACTTAAAGTTGAGAGAAGAAAATAATGCCTTCAAGAAATTGTAGTATAAGAAATTAACAATATATTTAAAGCTTTTACCTTGAGAGGTTATCAATTCGGAGTCCATATTTCGTCTCTGTCTCCTTCTTCCCCACCTTAATTTTAAATTCTTTATCCACCAGCAAGACGAAGGCAATGGCACCATTATCTGGTTTCATGTACATTAAGAAGGAATCCTTCACTATTAACCACCTGTAAGAGGGTAGGAAGGGTTTTGTCTCGAGTTGCTGAAACCAGAGTAATTATGACATCAGGTTTTAAATAAGCATCTAGAAGACTAGAGACAGAGTTTCCATTTTTAATATGGAAGATTTAGTTGCTTAAAAATTACCATGCAAAAGAAGTGAGAAATTTTTCTGTTTTGTTTTTCTAAGAAGTGCTACCAACAAGGACTTCAAAATAATTCCTTAGCTCTTTAATTAAACACTAACAATGAACCCTGGAAGAAAGCCCCTGGTACGACCAGGTAGGCAGGTCATGCCCAAGGGAGGTAGCACTGGGAGGGGGGGCTGGAGAGGAGAGATGGAAGTTGTTGAATGAGAGGGGTTGGTGTTTGCTAACAAAAACTCAATGAAAAAGGCTAATAAAGATATTGTTGTTAAGTGCCATTGAGTGGTAGGTGACTCATAGCGACCCTATGAATGAGATACGGATACTTGTATAACTTTCATTATTTCTCCACATTCATAGGGTTTCCAGAGGCAAGCTATTTCTAATAAAGATATCAGTAATAAAATAATAAAAAATA